CTTTCTTTCTTTCTTTCTTTCTTTCTTTCTTTCTTTCTTTCTTTCTTCCTTCCTTCCTTCCTTCCTTCCTTCCTTCCTTCCTTTCCAACTCTCGGGGCAGGTGCTCATATTTGTTTCTTAACTGAGGGAGCCAGCAGTATGTCCAAAGATACTTCCATGGCCATGTGACCAGTATATCTATATGCCAAGGTGAAATGGTACTTATTTATCTACTTGCATTTGCATGCTTTTAAACTGCTAGGTTGGCAGGAGCTGCTGAAAGTAACAGAAGCTCACCCTGTCACGCAGTGCTTGGGTCTCAAACCCAGACTGTCAGTTTTTCAGATGGCAAGCTCAGCGTCTTTAACCATTGAGCCATTGTGATCCTCACTATCTGTCTGCCTGCCTGCCTGCCTGCCTGCCTGCCTCCTTCCCTCCATCTAATCTAATCTAATCTAATCTAATCTAATCTAATCTAATCTAATCTAATCTAATCTAATCTAATCTATCTGATCTGTCTATCATTCATCTATCTATCTATCTATCTATCTATCTATCTATCTATCTATCTATCTATCTATCTATCTATCTATCTATCTATCTATCTATCTGTCTTTTGGTGATATAATCACATCCCCCAAAAGATAAAGAGCTATTTCTTCTTGGTCCCAGCAACCTTCCGTGTAATTTGAGATCTTTTGAATAGTACCCTGGGAGCATTTAAATATCTTTTTTGATTGAAAGCTGCAGTTATAGCCCTAAAGGGAAAGCTGCAGTGATTAACTGTTTGAGATTTTTCAGAAGTATAATGACTAAAAGAATGCCCAGACTTATTGAGTGGTAGAGTTCTTAAATTTAAATTGTGAAAGGTGGCAGAAATTGATTTCAACATAATTTGTAACTAGCTTATTGAATTGTGACTATGCCATTATCAATTCAATGTTTTCTATAGTGAGGAGAGCTATTTATTTATTAAATAAATGCATATAGCCAACCAATTCACACAGAGTGACTCTGGGCTGTGGACAATTTTAATTTCCTCAGTTAAAAATCCACAGTTTAACAATTTAAGCCTCTTGCACTCTTTAAGATGATATAGTGTTAATACATTTGTGCATAGAAGTATCAACAAATTTATCTTTGCAACATTAAACACCAGTTCATTTTCTGATTAGCTGTAATTATCTGGGCCTTTGCTTTTTTATGCTTTCCAAATGATTTGGACTTCAATTTTCATAGTCCCCAGCCAACATGGATGACAGTCCGAGAATTATGGGTTTAGTCCAACACATCTGGAGGACATTTAGGATGACTGCAACAAGAAATCTAGATAAAGCCAGGTTGGAAGCAGGAGCTGCAGAACCTGAAAAGCAGAAAAATGTTTATTCCCCAAAGTCGTTGTTGCATAGTTTAAGAATTTAATCCAAAAACAGAATAACAGAGTTGGAAGGGACGTTTGAGGTCTTCTAATCCATTGCCCTGCTCAAGCAGGAGCCCCTATACCAGGGGTGTCCAACCTTGGCAACTTTAAGACTTGTGGACTTCAACTCCCAGAATTCCTCAGCCAGCTTTGCTGGCTGA